ATTAATTGACTGAACTCCTTAAGGAAGAATTAGAACATAAGAACATAATATTTCATGTTATAGCCATCTAATGATGATGACCCAGCACATGTTCATTATAAGAACACTTTCACAGCAAAGCATAAAGATTTCTAAAGATCGCAACAGCACTGGGACCCAATGTTTTTATGTTCCTCCCAAAATCTTAGAGGGAGGAGTTGTAAAGCATGCATTCAGAAGTCTTTTAAAAAAAGCACAAATTCAATGCAGAAACTACAGAAACAAAAATCAACCTTCTTCTGGAGGCATCCGATTCAGATGATGAAAATGAACATGCGTTGGTCTGCACTGCTTTGGAGCATTATGATCAGAACCCATCATCAGCTATGGACACAAGTTCTCTGGTATGGTGGTTAAAGCAGGAAGGGGAATATGAATTCTTTGCATATCTGGCATATAAATATCTTGCAATGCAACTACAACAGTGCCATGTGAATACCTGTTCTCACTTTCAGGTGATAACATAATCAAGAAGCAGGCAGCATTATGTCCTGCAAATGCAAACAACCTTGTTTGAGCAACTAGCTGAGCAAGTAGTAAGACCAAGTGAACTTGTATACACTAAAGTTTTACATTGTTTTATTTTTAAATGCAATTATTGTTGTACATAATTCTACATTTGTAAGTTCAACTTTCAGGATAGAAATTGCACTACCGTACTTGTAATGGGGAAATTGAAAAATACTATTTCCTTTTACAGTGCAAATATTTGTAACAAAAAATATAAAGTGCACATTTTCATAATAATATAGTCATATATATTATAAATCATAATATATATATCATATATTTAAATATATTAAAATAGAGAAAGCATCCAAAATATTTAAATAATTGGCATTCCATTAACAGTGCGATTAATCACACAATTTTTTAAATTGCTTAACAGCCCAAGTGTGTGTCTAGACTACTGAGTTTTGTCGACAAAACTATACCTGCATCTACACTACCGCTGAGTTCTGTCGACATAACATACGAGGCATAACACCATCTGGGTTGCGTCTAGACTACAGGGTTTTGTTGACAAAGCAGCTTGCTTTGTCGACAGAACTGAATGTGTCTAGACGCTCTATGTCAACAGAAGTTTTGTCGACAGTATCTGTCGACAAAACTTCCGTCGACAAAACCCTGTAGTCTAGGCGTACCCCTAGTTTCAAGCTTTCTTTGAAAAGCTACAGTTTGAGTAAGGGCGGACCAAGAGGTCTCCTGCCCCCATGAGTCTTTTGTGGTGTTAAGAACCCCCTAAGAAGGAGAGAGTTTGGGTTACAAGAATAAGATGGGAATGTCAGAAGTATAATGAAAGTTTTTCTATTCTTTCATACAAACTTAAGAAATCTTCCCCAACAGCCTCATATTAATTGAAGAGGAATGCTGTTGTGTGACATATTGAGATCAGAGTACTAGAATGTGTGCATTATTTAACAATCCTACGCTGGGATATAGCAATATCCCTCTAATTTCTATAGCATAAAACTCAATGCCTCAGCAGGGCTTTTCCTGGATACATATGAAGTGATGCAGCTACATGGGGCACCAAATTTTCAGGTGCCCCCTTGCAGTCACACATGCTGTGTATGTAAGGGGCTGCTATCAGACAGCAGCAGGACTGCTTTCTCCCTGCTCTCCCACACCCTCCTTGCTTCTCTCAGCAGCAGTGGGGGCAGAGAGGAGTCCAAGCAGCCTGAGCCTCAGCAGTTCCACTCTACCAAATAGGAGTGGTGAGGGCAGTGTGAGCAGGGGTGGAGAAGAGGATTCAGTGGCTGACCTACCCCTTTCTGGCAGTCACACCTCAAACTGCTGGGCTCCCCCCTTGGCACAGCTCCTGCCTCCTCCCTGTGCTCTTGGGCCCCATGCCAGGCCTGGGGCAGCACTGCATATGCAGCTCTCTCCCAGCCCTGTTATTATTCAACAGTGGAGGCCCTGGAGCTTGGGAGGAGGGATCACAGACCATGCTGGGCAGGAGAATGATACCGGCAGCCTATGGATAGACACTGATCTCTGTGTGCCCCTTATTCCAGGATACCCCCTCAGCCCAGGCCCCTCAGAGCCACTGCAATGTACAATGACATGGTAAATAAAATGAAGTTTTCATATCTACTTTAAAAAACATTTTAACCAGTGTTTAAATTTGCCACAATTTTGTACAAAAAATTAATTCAAGCCTTGATAGTTCACATGAGGGGCTCTGCCTCTAGGGTACTCAAGGGCACGCTGAAGTGAAGCACCCTCGTCTGTAAGCAGGAGCTGTGTCCCCCACCCCCACACTGGAGTCAGTGGGGTACCATTTTAACAACTCCATAGGGCCCCATAAAGCCTAAGTTCAGCCCTGGGCCTTTGTATCTAAATGTCCTCTTACTTCAGCCTGGATTCTTTCTGGTTGTTTGTGTTACCCCAAAAATATTCTTACTGGAGAGCACCCAGGGTTATACTAGTCTGGATTTATTTCCACTAGATAAAACTAAAGAGGAGAGAGCATCCACCAAAGGTTTAAACAAACCAAAAAAAAAAAAAAGATACAGAGCACGCATGCACACATTGCAGGAGCCACGGCCTGTGGATTGCATAGGGTCTGTCTGCTCATCGTGGCTGGGGAAGCTGGTCAGAAGAAGAGAGACAAGGGCTATGTCCACACCACAGGCTTTTTGCTCAACAATTGTTCTTGTGCAAGAACGCTCGTGCAGTATAAATACTCTACTGTAAATTTACTTGCGCAAAAACTTGCAAAGTGTCAGAGAACAGGGCTTCTTATGCAAGAGTTATTCCTCTCCCCACGAGGAATAAGCCCTCTTGCGTAAGAGCTCTTCCACAAGAAGGCAGTGTAGAAAAGCAACAGGGGTTTCTTGTGCAAGAAAGCCCTAGGGCCAAAATGGCTATCAAAGCTTTCTTGCGCAAAAGAGCATCCACACTGCCATGGACGCCCGTGACTCATCCGCCTGGTCACCAGGGAGCATGCCCAGACTTCTTTATCCAGCAAAGCAGCAGTCTTTGATGACTCATCACCATGTGGTCCATTGTTCTCAGTCTTCTTCAAACACTCTTGCTCACAAGAGAATGCAGTTTAGAGAAAGTTACAGCAAAGTGGCTGAGAGTTACAAAGATTACAAAGTTGCATCTTACAGTAAGTCTGAGAGTCACAAAGATTACAGCAAGTTGCAAGGTTTGACAAAGATCACAATGAGTTGCAGTTTAAAACCTTAGACCTTACAGTTCAGTGTAGTTTCAGAAAATGCATGTGTATAAATCAAGTAAGCTCAGGCAGAGGCTTTTTTTATGCCACAGGTTTTGGGATTTCTACACTGCTTTCACCATGGATTCTACTTCTTTAAAGTCTAATCTCACTGCTACCCTGCACTGACTTCCCTAAATTCACTCACTTGCCTTAACTTTCTCAAAAAGAGAGACAAGCGTTACAGGATAAGTTTTCCTACACCATTTAAAAAAAATTAATCCTCTATTGTCATTAGCTACTCACTGATGCAAATGTTTTCCACCCATCACTCCACTCCTGGGCTATATCTACACTCGCAGCTTCTTGTACAAGAACATCTTGCGCAAGAAAACGTCCATACTACCATGTGCGAACTGTGCTTTTGTGCAAGAGCACCCATGGCAGTGTGGACGCTCTCTTGCGCAAGAAAGCTCTGGTGGCCATTTTAGCCATAGGGCTTTCTTGCACGAGAAATCCCTGCCAAGCGTCCACACTGCCCTTACACAAGAGCTACTTCGCAAGAATGCTTACACCTGTTAAAAAAAAGTGTGGCTCTTGCGCAAGAAGCCCTCTCTTACCACACTGTACTGTAAATTTCCTTGCGCAAGAGCAGGTGGGCAGTGTGGACGCTCTGCAGATTCTTGCGCAAGAACGGCCATACTTGCACAAGAAGCCACGAGTGTAGACAGCACCTTGGATATGTCCCTGGCACCGCAACAACTTAAATATGGCCAAAACCCAAACTCCTCTTTTTGCTCAAGTTCTGTCATTAAGTCATGATTGTCTTTCAGGCCTACAGCTGGGGCTGGAGTGGCATCACATTTTCCTCTCTCCCCTATATCCTCAGTAGTGTCCAAACTCTGCTCCATCTCCCAGAAGATTAGTTCAACCTTGAGTATAGATAGCCCTCATCTTGCATTTTGAGGACTGCAGTGGACACTTCTTTGGCCTCAACCATCTACATGTCCTCTAAGTTTGGACACATCAAAGGAATCCATGAATATCACATCACTTCTTTGATTCTCTGCAATGCCTTTCCTTCTCACCCCATAGCATTTTTTCCATCTTTGCTTAGAGAGTTCCCACAATTCTGCACTTCACTATTGATCTGCTGTAAGCTCACATCACACAGATTCCTTTCTTTACTCTACCAATTCGGCATTCATGGATTGCATGTTTCCCTCACCAATACATGTCTGGACATTCTATATGGGCACACTGAAACTGAACTAATTCATAGGGCTGTCTCCAATTCTCTTAAGACCACTTGTGCTGTGATATCACCTAAAAAACTAGCTAAACAGTGATATGATGGTGCAGTAATTGGGACGGAATTACATTCAAGAGGATTTGTGCAACAGCTAACTTTCATAGATACATGATCTCATGCTGCTGTAGTCTTCTTTCCTATTGTTTGAAACAAGACTCAAGTGGCAGACTAATTGCAAGATCTGCATGGAAGGTATATCTAGCCATGTTAGTCATACCAGGTCATCTAGTCATAGCTAACTCACTGCAGATATCAATTTATGGTAGACCACCATGCAGTTTCTCCTTTTGATTTACAACCCATTGAAGTTATCAAATCCCAAGGACCATCTAGTCTGACCTACCTAACATAGGCTAAGGACTTAGGAGTGGAGCATCTGAGTTTCTCATAACAAACTTACTCAATATTGATTTGAGGCAGTGTCAAGATGTAGAATCTACCACAACTTAGTAACCTGAAGCTTGGACAAGTGAAGCTAGAAACTTCATAAGGCAAGACATTTATTAAAAGTGCTTTAGGTTTACATTAAAACTATAGTCCAGAGTCCTTGTAAAAAAGTCATTTAAAAATGTCAGCTAATATAGTAAGCACCATGGTTACTGACACATGACCTGCAGTGCCTTATAAAATGTGCGATCAACTCTGTTGATCAGGAGGCAAGTGCTTCAATTTTAGTCAGTGCGCTGATTCACTGCTATTTACTCCAGAGGTAGAACTCCTGGTGGCTCCATAAAGGACACATACATGTACCTACAACAGAGAAACAGACAGGCAGATAGTTACAAGTTAGTTAACTAAAGATGAAAGAACGGTCTAACAATGTTAAACAAGCAGGAAGCCCTACTTGAGGTAAAAAAAAAAATTGTTTTCAACTGTTGAGTCTTTCAACATCACGCATATCTGAAACAGTCATGCTTAAGACTACATTAGAAGACTGCTCTTTGTATAAGAGCAATCTTCTAAGATTCAGCATCACCCCAAATCTGAAGATGTGTGTTTTTAACATCACCTTGTTAGTAGAGCCATTGGATAGGAATGAGTTACAGAAAATTTTGCTCGAGCAAGTTGTACATAGAACTTCCCATAGCATAATTCCCAGGGCTTGACAAACAGCGGTGAAAGCCGCTCGCCAGCCCCACACTGCACATGCGCAAGAGCCGCAATGTGCATGTGCGCGCCGCCGGTAAACGGGGAGCGCAGCTGAAATCTACTCGCCATGGGTGAGTAGATTCTATAGTTTGTCAAGCCCTGATAATTCCATTAATTACTACTGCATCATTTGCAGCAGTTGAGATTTGGCCAGTTGTAATCCCTGCTGTCAATTGGAACCAAAGAGAAGGCATTTAGTGTCTCAGGAACTTACTTTGACAACTTGTACTTCTCTCTAATTGCTTGCTGTGGTCGATGAGAAGCATCAAGGCATACTTTATGTAGGTCACTTAGACAAGGCACTATCTCACTTAGCGAATACCCAGTAAATGCAGCAAGCGTTTCTGGCTGATCAGTAGGGGAAAAAAAGTTACTGGTACATTTTTCCATTTGGTTAGGTAGCATGTCTTCCAGATTTTGTTACAAGGCATATATTGAGATGTGGGCCACATTTCTGCTAAATATTTGGATGATTGCATGCATCTGTTTTGCTGGTGAAATGAGATCCCATAGCAGTCAATTAAAAATCTTAGCCACTTAATACCCCTAGCATCCCAGTACCAATGTCCACCAAGTATCTACTACAGCAGAGAAGTCTGATAAGAAGGAGCTTCTTATGCAGACAGAATACTGGCTGGTATCTGTTTCACCAGTTCTGAGCAGTGTCCCCTATCATTCATACCAGAAGTGATTTGCCCAGGTGCTGCAGAAGTATACTAATGAAACTGGTATTTGGATAAAACCATGCGCTGCTAAGATCCTTCTCACTCCCAACACAAAGAATGATGCATAGACTGGCCTCTATCAGTTTTTATAGGGTGGTCAATAAGTTGTCATAGCCATCTTGTCAAGTCTCATTAGGATTATGTACCCTAAAGTTAGTTTCACCAAGTGTCCAAAATGGAGTACTGTTCCTGTACAGAAGTTCTAGATGAGAAAGAGGAACAAGTCTTAGACTACCTTGATATTAACTAATTGTGTGCCAGTGGAAAAGCCTGTTCAACTGAAATAGAACCCTCCCAAGAAATCTGCTAGTTCATAATTCTGCTAGTTGGAGTGGAGATTACAGATTCTGATTTAGAAGTGGAAGGAATCTTATGAAATCCTGTTTACAGCACCTCTGAAAATAAAGAGCTTACCCAGAAATGCCTGTTCACAGTATAATTTGCTAGACAGTAAGCTGCTGCAGCAGTTTGCGAAGGAAGGTACTTCAGAAATGGATCAGCTTCCAGGAGACTCAGCTCTGCTACATACTAAGCAAAAGAAGTTCTAAAATGTTACTTTCCAACAGACCCCTGTGTATATAGTAAAATCAATTCAGTGTGCTCTAAACAAGCATTCGTAGCCTTTCCAACACCACAGTTTTGGAGATCTGTGGATGATTATATACTTGGTTTAGAAAGTTGCTTTAACTGTTCAGAAAGTTAGGGTGAAATCCTGCCCTTACTGTAGAACTTTTGTTGACTCCAATAGTCTTCAATGGAGCCAGGAGTCACATATTAGAGATACTGGATAGTTGAGTGAAGGCTGGGCAGTCTCATGGTTGAGGAACTGATAGGGACTCAGGTGGTCTGGCTTTGTTTTCAGCTCTATCACAGGCTTCTTTTATAGCCCCTGCTAAGTTAGTGTATGCCTGAGTTCCCCATCTGTGATAGTGTGAAAGAAAGCAGGTCTTACTCCCAAGCAACATAAAGGACAAAGGGTGAATAGCTATATTTGTACAGTCAGTTGTTATCTTCGTTGGGGCCTCTGGGCTCTGCTACTATCACCAGCAGTATCAATACAGACTGACCCCATAAAGCTTTGTGTAGTTGTTCCGGAAAGCAAGAAGCATGACAGATGTTCATATTGGGTTTTTATACTGGTAATAATTCCCAGTTAGGTACTGTTTTATCAGGATGTTAGTCATGTTTGACTGACAGGCAGGCACCATCAGCATACTCCCGACAGTAGGTGTTTTCCAACCAAGAAGCTGCTCCTGAGAGTAAACAGTCGAAATTCCCATTCCTCCACCCCACACCTATTCCTGCTTTAACCATCACTGCCCTCACACAGCCCTTACAGAAGTGTAACATACCCTTGCAAAGTTCTCTGTCCTGACACAGACTCCATGTCTCTGTAAATACTGCAGGAGAAACTGGTTGGTGGTTGGTACAGTCAGGTCAAAAGCCAGTACTTTCAGGAGCAGGTGTTCCATTCTTAATAGCTGCCTCTTCGTATAAGTATCATCTGTTATATACACAAACTCCTCTACCTCCGGAGGGTAGATCTCTTCGTATTTCCTATGAAACAGGGCAAAACCACCATTACATTTATGAAGTTGGAAGTTCCAAATCAGAAAGAGACTTGCAGAAATCAGTGCTGGGCTGAGTACATCAGCCCACCTTGATCCAAGAAAATATGTAGACCTGAACTCTTACCTAGATACATCCTGTGACTTATATGGTTGCTACACTTCAAAGGCAAAGGCGCCCTTATTGATTAATTTAATAGTCAATGCAAATTGTATTGACTATTCGATTAGCCTGTTAATCTAAATTTAACATCCCTACCATGAACAAAGGTTGCTCCATTGCAGCAGCCTGTTGGCAGAGAGCTTGGACTTCACACGAACAGGGGTTACTGCTGCAGAGTAGCCTCTGTCCATGGCAGGCCCAGGTTCACTAGGGACAGAGGCTGCTCCATGGTATGCCAGTGCAGCCTCTGTGGAGAGCAGAGACACACACACACGCACACACACACCCCCCTCTACCCCTGCTGTGGAGCAGCCTCTGTCCACAGTGAGCCTGGGTCCACTGCAGACAGAGGCTGCTTTGTGGCACTGCCCCTACCCCCCTATATTGCTGCCTTTGATAGAGGCTTTTAAGCCACCTTCCCCAAGCACTAGCTCCTGCATGCCCCCCTCCACTGCCTCTTTAGGAAGCAAGAAGGGGGGCAGGTGGGTCCACAGAGCTGACACAGAGAGCCAGCTTAAAAGCCAGCCCCCTGTGTGTATCAGCTTCCACTTGCCCTCCCACCCCCTTTCCATGCCGCTGCCTCTGAGGTAGCAGGGCAAAATGGGAGGAGGGAGGGGGCAGGCGGAGCTGGTACTTGTGGGGAGCTGGATTAAAAGCTGGCTCCTCAGAGGCACCAGCTCACACTCCCCCCTCCCCCTCCTCATTGCTGCTTCTGCTGCAGAGGCAACAAGAGAGCAGGGAGGATGCATGTAGTTGACAGGATTAATAGATAAGTGCAGGCTTATTGGTTAATTGTGTAGTTGTCTACACATTGGCACGCCTACTGGAAGGTATGTGCTGGTGTCAGAACCAGCATAACTCTTCAAAACAAATTTTAGTTTCGGCCGCTAAATAAGACCAAAAGATCTTTTCCCACAGGAAGATTTTGCCTGTCTTCAGTGAGCAATTAAAGAGACACTTACGCAGCCAGAAGAATTGCTGCTGTTCCAACAAGCTGAAGCTTTCCTCTGAGGACAGACATGCAGGAAAGAAACCTGTCCAGAAAGTTGATAGCTAGGTACAAAGTTTCAGTACGAAGTTTGTATTCTTGCCCAACTTCTACCAGCCAGTCTACCAGGATTGCACGCATCCCTGACGTGATGTCTGGCTGTTTTCGCATATAATATGGTTTTGGTCTGTATCTTGTCTGTTTGAAAAGATTTGAGGTTCAGTAATTATGACATTATAAGACTAACCTTCACCGTATTCACGGTGTAAGCAATTATTTATGTTGATAGTCAATATATTAAGGCCATCACTGATTCCCACCATCAACCAATGGAGACCATTACTGAATTCAGCAATAGAAGTTAATCATGAAGTTCGATAGCCCTAACTGAATTAAAAATCTAGCACGGAGTATAAAAAAAGTCGTTAGTAATGGTAACAGGAGGAAGCGTTGCGCTGGTAGTGTTAGGAGCCCCTACCAGCTCCTCAGGTTGGAGCTGCCTTTTTTGCCACATTCTTTTATTCTCAACCTGATAAATAGGTTTTCAAGAGCTTTTGCAAGTGTCTTCACCCCAGCAAAGATCTGTTACACATTCCATCAGAGAGGAGTTAGACTCAAAGCTGAAGAACTTCTCACTACCTCCTGCTCTGCGTTGGCCAGCAAGATAGGGAGCTAAGAAAGAATGCTTTGTTAAGATAATGCAGGCAGTAAAAAGATGTAAAGCAGCAACCTGAGAATTTGCATTACGCAGCAACACTCTAAGGGCATGTCTAGACAGCGGTACTATTTCGGGATACTTCCAGTATCCTGAAATACCATTTTCTGCATCTTGATAGCATGGCTGCTATTTCAAAATAGCTTTCAAAATAATAGGTGCACTATTCTGATATCTCTGTAAATCTCATTCCACAAGGATTAAGAGACATGTCAGAACAGTGGTTCATTTCAAAATTTGGCGCTGCATAGACAGCGCTAAGTTTCAAAATAAGCTATTTTGAAATTAGATTGAAATAAGATAAGCAATTTGCATAGCTCAAATTGTATATCATATTCCAAGCTAAGGAGCGGCAAACTATGTTATTTTAAGAGGTAAGTGTTGCCAAAACATGTAGGAGCAAAGAAACACTGATGTTACAGGCTTGCAAAAGCCACTCACTTCAGCTTCTCTAAGGTACTGATGAATGTCTTCTGCATAGTCTCCCACATTCATTACATCTATGCTGTTATCCATAGGAATTTCATGATGTGACTGGAATGACGTATCCACCAACATAGGAGAACCTGCATAATCAGGATTTTTATTATACAAGGTATTTTCTGTTAGTACAAGATTCAAATCACATATGAATACGTCATCTACAGATCATTTAATTTACTTTTGTTAAAAAAAAAAATCCAGATCTCATATACTAGATTAATGTTGCAAGCAAGATTTTGAGTAATGACAGCTACCTGTACTCAAGTCCAACAGCAGATGAATATTGGATTTCATTGTGCTAGTATCCACTTCACACAGGCTAGGTTCCAATTCTTGTACAACTGTGCAGCTGCATCTGTCTTTCTGCTCTGGTTCATCTACATATATAGAAAATCCTTGCTTGGATGTTACACTGACCATACAGCTAGGCAATATATTCTTTCCAGATGGAGGGAAAGCATTTTCAGAGCCAGAGAAGCGTCTGACTACAGTGGTACCCTGAAATAAAGTACAGATTAAACCTGCAGAAGAGATTGTAATTCATATTTTTGGTGCTATCACTTTCATCAATAAATTGAAAAATGAGTTGACACAAAGCTTGCCATTACAACTGGCATTTAGGAAATTCTGCTTACTGCCATCTTGCTGTAATGACAGACATTTGTGCCACATTAAGAAGTAGTGGTCTTCCAGTCTAATAAGCCAGGTTCAGTCTTGAGCAGTCTTTTATTGCTAGTGTCAGACATTCATCTGCAAAATGGCCAGCCTGAACAATTCTGCTGAAATGCCAACTGTAATTATAAACTCTGAGCTACAGTTCAATTTATTCATGCTGAGAACTACCAACATTAAATGCAACCCAGCAGTTGTTACCTTAGCTTGCTGAAGAAAGCAAAAGGTGCATTAAGAGTTTAAAGCAGTCTTTTATAATCTGATAGTAAAGTTAATACAGTTTTTGCACATGTATACTAATGCTATGCCATCTCTCTCAAGAGCTAATTAAGTGGAGTATACTGAAAAGCTGACAAAGCCTTTCATAAGGGTCAAATCAATCTTCCTGGAATACCAATAGCAAGACTGCAGATGAAAGCTAGAAGTCTCTTACAATTCTAGTAAGCACATCAGTAGACAGCACAAGTGGGTTAGAATTTAGCCCGTGTTTATACTTTTTGACTCCGGGGCAAGTAGTTTATCCCATGAACCTGAGGTAAGAGTGCCCAGCCTCCAATAAGCGTATACTATATTAAGTGCATCGTAAGACTGGTCTTTCAGCATTTCATCAATACAGTAGGCACTTAGGTTTGAAAAAGCTTTGGCCAAACTCAGGCTCTGAAATAAGAGGGGGCCAACTTTTCAGAATGTTTAGCAGTCACAAATCCTGCCATGTCAATAACAGCTGCAGTTGCAGTAACTCAAACTCTTTAGAGATGCTGAGCTCCTACAATCCCTGTTGGCTTACGTGGAATATGCTAAACTTCTGTGTCCAGACTCCTATATTTAGGAGCCTGGCTTTAGACAGTGGAGGTCTGTTTTCATCACGCAATACTGATGTACTCTAAGGATTACCACCTTTAAATGGAACAACAAATAGTCTGGTAGCATTTTAAAGACTAACAAAACATGTAGATGGTATCATGAGCTTTTGTGGGCACAGCCTACTTCTTCAGATGACTGGAGTGATGCAAGTCCAGAACCAACACTTCTGGACTTGCAACACTCCAGTCATCGGAAGAAGTGGGTTGTGCCCACAAAAGCTCATGATACCATCTACATGTTTTGTTAGTCTATAAAGTGCTACCAGACTATTTGGTTTTTTTTAAAGTTTTTCCTGTTACAGACTAACTTGGCTACCCCATGACACCTTTAAATGGCAATCTGTTATTACTCTAATCCCACCAGACTGCATTTCTCTAAAGTGCTTTGCACAGGAGTAACAGCTACTATATATGCAAGAACCATTCCAATCCAGGACACAGTAGAGCAGTGGTCCCCAACCTTTTGGGGCCATGTGTGCGCCAGGCTTCCAGGGGTGCAAGAATGGCTTGGGCTGGCCCTGCTCACTAGGTGGGCACACATAAATGCCATGGCACCCGCGGGCACCGCGTTTGGGACCACTGCAGTAGAGTATTAGTGAAAGTACTGCTACCCAGATTAAAATCTGCATCATGGCTCTGGCATCTAAATTTGTTCTGAAACATGAACCAGGGAATAGGAAAAAAGACTATCCAAAAAGTACTTCTTGCTCTCTGAACGTATTGCCACCATGTCACTACATTGTAGGAGTCATGGACTGAATCACGGAACTTTTGAGCAGTAGTTGGCAGTTAAGGAACATATACATTTCCAATGAGCCCCACATTCCATAGGCCACGGATATAGAGAAGCCACCTAATAGTCCCTCTCCCTCCAGAAACCTTATTTGAAGATGGGCTACCAGTGGAGGCAGAGAGAAATGGTCAGCAGAGCTCCACTGTAAAATACTAGCTAGCCATGACCACCCAAAAATGCTCTGCTAACCAAACAGAGATGGGAGCACTACCCTTTTAAATCCCATGTGTGCTCTGGATAAAATATTGAGAAAAGAAGCAAATCATGTGTGCTATCCAAATTCCATATAGTAAATCCAGTACTGCCAGCTCCAAGCATTCAAAAAGAACAACAAAATAGCCTGAAAAGTCAAAAGGTAATAAATATGAGGTGCTTTTAATTTGCCCTCTAGTTTAAGCCTTTTAAAGTTGCACTTGGGCCTCACTTGAAAAGTGTGTTTTTGCAACCAAGTGATCTAGATTTTTTTCTTTTTTAATAAGGATAAAAGCTGAACTGAGATTCTCATGAAACCCTAGCTCCTATAATTACAAAAAAGATACTAAAAACTATGACATTTACAATAAACTTGCTGGAGCTGGTACTGTCTTTCTCTAAGGCAAGCTTAGGATCACATAATTTATCAGGCTTTTGTGATTTTGGGAAAAAATGAAGTCAGGTTAGGTATTTACATACTTAAATATCTAGATCAGTAAGACTTTTAGACACCTGTTTTGGATACAAGTTTTAAACGCATGTTTACCAACATTGTCAACAATGCCCTTGACAGTTTACATGCAGGTTCACAAAAGATTTAAAACAGAGATGGTGAACCCTTTTTGGGTTGGGAGCCACTGATCTGCAGAAAAATCAGTCAGGCAGGGGGCAGTGAGGACTGGAGTGCCAGCACGGTCTCCACAATGCTGAGGGGAAGGAGCCCGGAGCCCTGGGGGCCAGATACAGTAAAGCCAGGGACCGCATTTGGCCCCTAGGCCTTAGGTTCCCTACCTCTGGTTTAAAAAAAAAAAAGGCTAACTAGATTTAGAGAAATACTTAGTTTAAGTAAGAAAAAAAAGCACCATAGCTGCTCACTGTCTCTGTTTAAAATGCATAGTAACAAGAAACCCCAGAAGAAGCCCAATCCTGGAATAACAGGGTCTTGACAAAAATCTGAAAACAAGAATAGCTTCCATAGCAACTGCCCACATTGTTGCTGACTTAAGCAGAGTCACTCATACACGCACAAAAGACACCTAGGACTTTGCCAGTCACTTCTTGTAAGTGTAACCCCACAGTAAGCAATAGGGTCCCCCCTCCACAACAGTTACCTGGCCACATGGCCTCAAGCACTGGCCATTCTCAGTCAGCAGCCCAAGCACAGGCCTCTGTGGGAGATTTTGGTTGGAATAAGGCCCAGCTGCAACCTGGCGGGTCTCCCGACTTCCAGTTTGGGAGATCCCACTTTTATCGTTGTGATGCATTTTTTCCAAGGTCAGCAGCTGACCACTAATAAGAGAAGAGAGAAGCAAGTTTAGTCATCCCAGGTAAGTTCATCCCAACTCCGCTCTGGAGGCAGTAGTTCAACATAGATGCTGGAACTAAGGCTGCCGCCATCCCCCTGGCTAGAAAGGGATTCCATAATCTATAGGATTTACATCCTAGTTCAATGACTCTGAGCCTCCCCACTATGAACATTGTTTCAGTGCCCTGCAGTCCAGATTCCCACTCCCAGAAGGAGCTCATCTCTCTCCCAGGATTTCTCCTTATTCTAAAGGCAGGATGTGTCTTACGGGTCTCATTAAGCACTGAAACAATTTACCAAGCGTCACGGTGGATTATCCATCACTGACAAGGTTTAAATCGAGAGTGGAGGATTTTCTAAGAGACAGGCTATAGGAATCATTGCAGGGACACCCTCTAGCCTGCATTATATGGGCCAGGATCACAAGGATCCGTTCAGCACTTAGAATCTGCGACTTGTAAGCAGCATTTCTTCCTTCCAAACTCACAGGGAGACGGGTTTGCCTTCATCCATGCACCCCTGCCCCCGCCCAGCCTCGCTGTTGTAGCCGGGGTGAGCCAGCTCTGGGGCGACACAAACTCCGGCCAAGCGGTGGCTGGAGAAGCCAAAGAGACACCAGCTGCAGGGGGCTATTGGGGGGGGGGGGAGGAAGCGCAAGCAAAAAGGATCC